GACATATGATTTATCACATTAACTATTTTTAAGTAAAATAATCCTCATAAAATTAACAAGTGACTTTACTTTAAAAAAATCTCCCACAAAATAATCTAAATTGAATATACCACTAATATAGGAATACATAGCAAGACATGGCAGAGATGATATAATATCTATATGTAGTATAAGCTTTGTTAATAGCCATATTATTAATTCATTATTAATAATAATATACCCATTCCTACATTTATAGTTTTGTCTTGAGTTTTAACTAATAATTATATGATGGCATCATAAGATAGTTACAGAGTAGGCATCAGGACATGGAGAAGCTGTGTAATTTCAGTAATGTTTAAAGACATGAGGTATTTAATATTACAATGTTTAAAGTTTTATGGAAGTCAGTGATAAGCATCTTTTTTGAGGAATATTCATAAAGGAAAAATTAAAAACCCAATTTAATTGGAAATATATATGTTCTTCCTGCTGCATAAAATACTGTAAAATAATACACAGAAAACTATAGAATGATACACTGAAATTCATTCCTTTGATACCATTAGAAATGCTTTGAAAATGCTTTGAAAACATCTCTGAATATTTAAAGCAGTAAGTAGTGAGCAAATGACACTATATTGTAATTTTATGATGCAGTTAGATCAAAGTATAGATTTAAAACTAGTCTCATTATATAGCATTTGTGTTCTAGATATAAAATAAAAAGAAAGTGACACTTTGGGGACCTAAAAGAGAAATAAGTCAGAGAAAATTTACTCCCTAAAGTGAGTGACTTCTTTGTAATAAAAGTACAGTTCTATGGGAAAACTGTGAATGTATAATCAGCAATAGAGTATATGAAAACATTGTAGGTATGAAGTTGAAGTTACATCAACATCCACAGATAGTTATGATGACAAGGATGATGTAGATGTGCACACGCATGCACTATGTATACAGAGAGCCTGTTATATATGTTACATTAATAGATAGTCACGATTCCTATATATAGTAATAGAAACATAGGGATAAAGCTATGTGTATACACATATGTGTATACACACATAAAGTGTGTGTATATCTTTATAATAATGAGATGGAGATTATATATGTAATATATATTAAATACATAATATTGTATATTTATACTAATGAGATGGAGAAGGACCATTAAAATCTTTGGAGTCATTCAGAGGTTCTAAAGTTATCTTATGACAAAGTATTTTAAAAAGCAACAAACTTCAAGGTACATTATGACAATTTGGCTTTCCTGGCCATCTGTATAGTGAAAGATTTGTTTTTCAATAAAATTTTGATTAAAGAGGAAATTCAAAATAAAATTCCTACCTGGGAAGAAATGAAAAAAAAAGTAATGAAACTATTGTCTGTTAGAACTTATGGAATACAGTTAAAATAGTCCTTGGAAGAAAACGTGCAACTCTAAACATGGTTAACGAATTAAAAAGAGAATAAAAATAAATCAATAAGGTATACAATGTATAGAATTTAAGAACAATAAAGTTTCCTACACATAAGGAAAACAAGAGAAATAAATTTATAAGAATTGGCAAAAGAAAACTGGAAATCAGAAAGGCCATAAAAATCATAAACATAAAATGTTTTGGGAAAATACCTATAAAATAGTAGCAGTAGAGTAACACAGAAATTGTAAAAATACTTTCAAAATTCTGAAAGAAATTATTCTGCAACTTAGAATCCTATATCCAGAAAATTAAATGTAAGGGCAGAACAAAATTTTCAACATGCAAAGGTCAAAACTTTTCTTCTAATATTCCTCCCCCCACCCCCAGAAGCTCCTTTAGGGCCCAGTGAATATGAGAGGAAAGCAAGAAAGGCCTGGCATACTGGAAACAGCAGATGGCACATAACAGATAGGCAAAGAACATTTCCAAGGTGATGGTAAAGAGAATTGCAGGATAACAACTTCAGAAAAGCATAGAAGACAACTAGCACAGATTGGTGCCTCAGGTGACATAGATGTGGAGGCTGTCACCACCAAGAATCCCTTCTCCTCTGCACTGTATTATCAACCAGACAGTGCTCAAGTGAGCCTGGCCAAGATTCTTAGCTCTCTATGACCTGTCCAAGTGCTGATACAATTCTGCTGTCCTCTCCCTGCCGAGCGGCCTGAAATAGCTGGTATCATCTGACCCCACAGAATTGCAGAGTTGACCGACTCCTGAGAGATGGAGGTTGGCCATAGTGAGCGTAGAAACAGGAAATGTTTGCTGACTGATTGATTAGGCCTTAGCCCTGCCAGATTTCCCCCATATAAGAAACCCTCTGCTTCCCCTGCATGACTACAGACTTGGCTTCTGACATCCTCACAATGGATCTTGAACCCTCCAAGAAAAGTTGAGGCCAGAATATAAAGCAGACTGTTCTGATCACCTTTTCCTAAGCACTGTCAACTGTCAATAATAATGTCACTTTTTTTTTTTTTTTTTACACAGCTAGTCTTTGTGTTTGCTACTCAGTTTTCAGATTAATCACTTCCCACCCTGATTAAGAAGTGTAATTAATTGTTGATAAAATAATGGAATAGTTGATTGAGAAATAAAACAAAATTAGAATACATTTCAATCTAAAAGCCATCTCTAATTCCATCTTTAATGGAATACTACAAGCATTCCATTAAAGTTGCACAATAACATGACTATTATTTAATAATGTTAGCAGTATTGGCCAATGCAATTAGACAAAAGAAAGGAATTACAAGTGTAAACCCTGGCAAAGAGGTGGTAAATTTATCACAATGTTAAGTGATTTGCTATTTTGGGTAATATACCTGGAGCTTCCACGAGAATTCGCTGAGTGACAGTTACATCCGTGAGATAACTCAGTAATGTGTTTTGGTAGGACATCCAAAGCTTTCACGTACTGACATAGAAATATACCAAAGCTGTTGTTAAGTTGGGGGAAAATACAGAGAAATAATATGTACAATGTCGTAAATAGGATGCTATCTTTTTTTTTTATAATTATGTATGCTTGTAGGGTATATGAGTGAAAATATTTGTATTGGCTTGATATGTAAAATAAATATTGCAGCACAAACAAGATACTAATTAGTCACCATTTCAAGGTTCAGAGGGTTATAACCTCTCATTTCTGCAAAGTTAAAAGATCTAGAATTATAATTTTCTAACTGTTTAAATTTTCTGAGTTTTTAAAATTTTTTTTTCAACGTTTATTTATTTTTGGGACAGAGAGAGACAGAGCATGAACGGGGGAGGGGCAAAGAGAGAGGGAGACACAGAATCGGAAACAGGCTCCAGGCTCTGAGCCATCAGCCCAGAGCCCGACGCGGGGCTCGAACTCCCGGACCGCGAGATCTTGACCTGGCTGAAGTCGGACGCTTAACCGACTGCACCACCCAGGCGCCCCACTAAATTTTCTGAGTTTTTTAAAGTCCGTTTTGAATTTAATGCTTAAAAAAAGAACTAATACATCTACTGATACAGCAAACACATCAAGGTACATTTTAGAAAGCCAATCAGTGCCTTAAAAATACATTATTGGAAAAAATGAACTAAATCTACATAACAAAATATTAAGTGTACAGTTTTAAAGTTGAATTTACTTGCATGCTAAATATAATTTTGAACAATGTGTATTATTTTGTACCAAATTTCCATTTCACACAAAACCAAATATACTCATTCATTGCTCATGGAGTAGAGAAATAACTGAATGCATTATTGAACTCTGGAAAACATTACATTCCTCTGAAATTTCAGCCATTAATGCATTAAGCATCTATTGTATTAGGCATTGTACTTGACTCTGAGGCCACAAAAGTGAGTAAAGCAGATTTCATTATATAAAATTCATGTCCTGAGGGTTTTTACTATAGAACAATCACTGCCAATTTATTTCCTTACATGAACAATTTCAGAAATATAAGAGGTGCTTATTGATCTGCAAAAAAGCAGCCCTATCTTTCACAGATACATACATATCTGGGCCGTTTCTGCAGCTTTTCTTTGTAGGCTCAAGACTTCCCACTCTTATGGCTCCCTTGCCCCTTTCACAACGCCTGGTCTTATCTCTGGTCCTACTTCCTCAAAGTCTTTCACATCCATCTCCTTTCCAGGTTAAAGACTCACCCAAGGTAAGACCCCATTCCCTCTCTCTACACTTGAACTCATCTGTATGCACAATCTCCAGCTTCTCTCCAAAGCAACACACTGCCTGGCATAGAACTCATGGTTCTTTCCATTCTTGCGTATCCTGATCCCTTTGCGGTCCTCGGCCCAATTTGGCCACTTACTGTACCGTGAATTAAACCAACACTTCTGCTCCGCGGCTTGCGCATTGATATCCTCTACGATGCGCTCCTCTGTGTCCCCCATTTCTTCCCGACCAGATCACAAGTCCTCTTAAAATAACTTCCGCTGTTACCTACCTCTTCAATGAAGACTTTTTAAATCTCATCCTATCACCTCTGGGATCTCTCTCCTTCCTTAAACTTTTCTCCTCTTGATACTTTCAAAAATAACAACCTTGACACCCTTCAGGCGACACTACAGGTGCTTGTTTAGTTTGGCAGAAGAGGCTGGAGGAGGAGACTGACAGGAATTATTGAAAGAGACAAACAATATACTATGAAAGCAGGTGTCTGGAGAAGGGTCCAACTATGAGGAGAGGTTTCCTTCTTACTAGTAAGAGATTCTTTTTTTTTTTTTTTTAAGTTTATTTATTTATTTTGAGAGAGAAAGAGAGTGAGCAGGGGAGGGGCAGGGAGAGAGGGAGAGAGAGAGAATCCCAAGGAGACTCTTTGCTGTCAGCACAGAGCCAGACTCAGGGCTTGAACCCACGAACTGTAAGATCATGACCTGGGCCAGGATTAAGAGTTGGGACGCTTAACTGGCTGAGCCACCCAGGCTCCCCAGTTGTAAGAGATTCTGACATAACGTCTATTATACTTAGACTTAATTCCAATTGAGCTTGACTTTTGTCCACTAACATGTTCTTTATACCTTTCTTGTTCCCAGGATGTGACAGTTCCTCACAAGCCTGTTTCTCTCCACCCTTTATATCAGACTAGACTCTATCCTTCTGCTAAGTCCCTGCTGCCTCCACAGACTCTCTCACACGCTGACTGTCTTACCCCAGGACCCTTCAGTCATTTGTCCTCCTTCTCACTGAGTGATGAACAGGGGAATTCTCACACCCTGTTTAGTGGCAACACATATAATAAGGTGAGAATTCCCTGCCAAGGTGGGAGCTGTTCTGTTCTGTGCTGTGAAACTTCTTTATGCTTAGCTTTTTAAAACTTAAGTGTGGAAACATATATATTAAGACTATTAATTATTTGTGTTAAAGCCCACGACCTTACAAAAAGATAATAATTAACCTTGAGAAGTTAGTAAGTATTTATTTTTGCTTTCAAAGTCATTTCCTGGTTTTGTATTCCTCCTTGCCTCTTGTGCAAACCCCAAAGTGGAAATCCTGAGAAATTTTCCAGAACCTTACAAGGTGCCATTATTAATTTACCTTATAGTCTCAGTTCAATGTTCTTTAAAAAGCTTCTTTAAATTGCCGTGCCTTAATCAGGAGGCACTATCACAGCCAATGAGCAATGAAATAATTAGAATTTCTACGAATATCTGTAAAGTAATATTAACATCTTATTTTATTTTATTTTTTATTTGAGTATAGTTGACACAATGTTACATTAGTTCCAGGTATACAGCAGAGTGTTTCAACAAGTTTATACCTTATGCTATTAACGTTTTATTTTAAAATGTGTCTATCTGCCTCACAACGCATAGTGATGGGATATGTAAAATGAGGTGTTCGGTACTTTAAAATATGTATATATGTATACATATTACACATGTATATATATTACATATATAAATATTTTGTATATCTATAAATATATACTTAAATACATATAATATATTTAATTAATTAATTAATTTATTTGTAAGTGTTTATTTATTTTTTGAGCGAGAAAGAGACAGAGTGCGAGTGGGGGAGGGGCAGAGAGAGAGAGGGAGACACAGAATCTGAAGCAGGCTCCAGGCTCTGAGCTGTCAGCACAGAGTCTGACGTGGGGCTCGAACCCATAAGCTGTGAGATCATGACCTGAACTAAAGTCAGACGCTTAACTGACTGAGCCACCCAGGCGCCCCTAAATACATACAATGTATTTTAAGTGAGAAATATTTATAGTTGGCTTTGGAATGCAATCACAAATGTTGTATTAGAAGCAAGCAGTCAACAGTGCCGCACAAAGCTTTTATATAAAAGTACCTGTTGCTCTTCTGACCATTACCATAAGGCCATCCTGGCTACTTACAGACTCTCAGATTCTGAAAACTGTATAAAAGAATTGATTAGTTAAATTTAACCTGCAATTAATTTTTTTTTGTAAAACTCAAAATCTTGTTTAAAACCATTTATTTTGCAAATTCTCTATATCTAATGGAATATACCCCTGTACTTGGAAATCAATGAAGGCCAGAATCAATATGTCCCAGAGTGTAGTTGTACAATATTCCTTGGGCCCCCCATTTTTTTTTTGAGGAAATGTTCATAAACTCAGTCTAAAGAGAGTCAGTCATCTAAAAAGTGAACATTACTATATGAATAATATTTTATCTTTCATATTTAATAGCATCTATCATTAGTGAATGATCAACCCTGAATTAAACTTTAAAATATCCATTTTCTGAAAACAGAATATTTTTAGACGAGGTTCAGGATGACATTTTTATGACTTTTGTTTGTTTCTTACACTTGGTTTGGAAAAAACAAATATTTCAGGGAAAGTATAATATTCTTAAAATATTTTCTATTATTTGAAATTGTTCCTGATTTAATCCTTGCCAACATTTATGAAATCCTTTTAGCTATAGAGTTAATGATTCTGAAAATAACATAACAATTGTCTTATAAATTATCATCTATGATGGGATTATAATTGTATTTTATAGATATCAATTGCATTAAGTAGCTCATTCTTTTGATATTTTGGTGCTGTTTTCTAGAACCATTCAACATTCACAGAGGTTCAAGGATAGGGTCAGTATTTTATCCGTATTTTAACCTGTACTAGTGAGGTTGTAAAGAACAATATAGAAAAGTGATATGAGGTTGGACAACTGTTTTCATTTTATACAATCTTCATAATAGATTTTGTCTTTCAGAGTCTGAGATTTATTGATACTGAATAAAGAAACAATAACATCAGAAATAATAATAATATAATCATAGTGTAAGACAATATTTCTTGATGGAAGATTCAGAACATCTAATAGCCTTATACTTTAATTGTTCCCATCAAAATATACAGATTACCCAATTTGATATCTATGTTTACAAATTTTGTGTCATAAATATTGGGCCAGTAGCATACCAGGTTTCAAGAATTGGTTTTTTTACTTGAAATAGTTTCTTGCCTGCAATTGTAAAACATAATCTGCTATCTAAATTACCTTCTCTTCAATACCTAATGTCGTTGCCACACCTGGTTCCCAACATTAACTACTAGGCTTATCTCCAAACTCAAATCTTCCCATATATCCCCCTGGAGAGCCACACTGAACTTGACCTAACTACCTTTGATGGTCCCTCATCAACTGGGGCTACCAAAGGTGTTTAACAGGTTTTATTATTCTTCTGTTGAATCTGTACTACATTCTTTCTTCTAAATCTTCATCCCACTCCGAGTGTCCTATATCTTTACCTTAATCCCTATCTTCTCTTAGTTTCAAGATAGAGCTCCATCATATGACGTCATATCACATGTGATGATGCTCAGGTACTTTCCTTTTCATCTTGGAATAAATTAGGGGGTCCTCTTTTTCTTGAGTTCTCATGAAGGGAGTTATTACTCTTCTTTCTTTAATCCCTCAAAGTAATATTGCCCAGTGGATAAGAGCAAGATGTCTCTGGACCGTCTGTCTAAGTTCATTTCTTGACCCCACTCTTTCCAGAGAGTGATGTTGGTTAAGTCATTTAGGCTATGCATGCCTCCATTTACTCACCTGCAAAATGAGGATGATACTAGTACACACCTTACTAGAGTATTATGAGATTAAGATGTACTAATTGATGCAAAGCACTGATACTGGTAGTATCTGGGACATAACAACCATATAAGAATTAGATTTTATTACACCTTCTTGGAGTGCCATTCTTAGCATTCTCTTGAATCTTCATTTGTCCTGTATTCATTGGATGCTTTCCCTTTTGTATGCAGAAACCTAAAAAAAAAAAAAAAAAAAAAAAAAAAAAAAAAAAAAAAGACAAAATGAACACATCTCCCTCCTTTTCCTTGATAGTGCCACAAGCGTAGTAATTTCAAGACTTTCTTTCTCTCAAAGTGATCAATAGCCATTATCTTCATTCTCCCTCTATAAATTCGCGCTTTAACCCACTCTTGAAAGCATTCTGTCTTTTTGTTTCAACCACTCTATTGAAACTGCTCTCTGGAGATAAACTGCTTGTCAGCAAACTCAGCTGAATTTCCTCAGTCCTCTGTCTCTTTTATCCCTTGCAGCAGCTGACACAGTTGATCATGCCCTTTTGAATCTCCCTCCTCATCCTACTCTTGGGATCATGTCTACATTCCAACTCCCTGACTGCTCCTTCTTTGTTTTCTTGTGGACACTTCTTCTTCCTCTACCCCTTCTCTCTAACTGCCCCCCTTCAGATACCCACCCACTCACAGGCTTCTGTGATTATCTTAGTCCTGATCATTCTCAAATCCACATTTCCTATTCTGTTTCTCCTCTGAGATTTAGTTTTATATCTTCAGCTGCTCTCTTGTCAGTTCCCCTCGGATGTCATGTTGTCACTTCAAACTCATCATTCGTTATGCCTCGAACGAGTTCTGTTCTGGCTTCCTTACTTCTGTCCTTAATAACACAGTACTCAGTCCTCAAACTCAAACTTGATTCAGCCATTATCCTTTTTCTGCTTTGACCTCATAGCTGATCATTCACCAAATTGAATGGATTCTTCTTTTGTTATGTCTGTCATGTTGTTATCTCTCCCTACTCTTTCTTATTATTCTACTTTCCTAACCAATCGACTTCTTTCCCTCCAGGCATGCCTTGGGAATTTCTTACTGTTTAACTTGCTCCTGCATTCTCCTCATGTAAAATACCTTCCTGTTTTTCACCTTACTTATGCAAGGCAGACCATTCTCATCCTTTAGAGACTAGTCAAACCATCCCTGCTCCTCTGTGAAGTTTCCCCATTCATCAACATTCAGGGATGCTTTTCTCCTTTTAATGTTTATAATCCTTGCCTGTGCCAACGTATCTCCTGTATATTACAAGTTACCTTGTATTCATTTGTTGTGATTGTCCTAGTGTCCATCTAGGGCGTGACATGCTTAATATGATACTTTTCACATTGTAGGTATAGCCATAAATAAATGTGTGTTCATGATGAACAAATCCTAAAATGATGCAGGTTATTCACTAGGAGCCTAAGATGCTTGAATATTTGGGATTATTTCCATTTTAAGTAGAAACTAAATATGAGTCAATTTATGGATTTATCAGTACATTTAATACAATTTCACTCAGTTGAGAAACTCCCTTTTTCTTGGGTTGTGTGCGATTTCCAGGGTGTTTATGGAGTGCTTCAACATAGGAACATAGGTGGGGTGGGGAGGTGGAGGCAGGGGGCATCTGATCTTTCTTTGCCATATGCGGGTTCTGGTATCTACTGGGGTGTTTTCAGTCCTGTCTGGTATATGACCATCAGTCATATAATACACTGCTGTTTCCTCCTTTCTTCACCTAAATGGCATGCCCTCATTGGTTCTAGATTAGTTACTTCTGAGCCCCTATAGTATACGTGGAAAACACAGTTACCTGTATCTTGGGAGCAGGTAAATTCTGTGAGGTCCTCTCAGAATCATCGATTTAGATAATCTACATATCCTTCTTTACTCTTCTTTTCCTGTCCCCTTGTTTGTAGAAAATTCTAGGAGTCCATACTTAAGAATTTGCCTACCCACTAGAATTTATTGGTAACCCTGAAAGCAATACTCACTGCACTTTTGTGGTCATCTGTGGACATGTGAAGAACAATGCAATATTTGATTGGCCTGTGCACATGTTCCCAGTGGGGTGAACAAGGTGATGTTCTATTTTCTTGTTTTAGCTCTCATGCTATAAGCAATCATTCTCTCCATGTCTTAGTACCACAGATTTTGAATTTGTGTGCTTTTTCT